GCTGCAGGCAGGTGGCATCCGCTGCTTCTGGGGTGCAGCAGGGGTGGCACCAGGCTCTGCGTGCGGGATGACAGGAGGTTGCCGCTGCTGCCTGGGGCCAGCAGCAGCAGTTTTTCTAGCGCTGGGTGTGGGCTGCGCCCAGCACTGGTCCCAAGTGGCAGCCTCCTGTCATCCCACGCACAGATCCAGGGGCCTGAACCCCTAGGTGTTGGGCACAGACCCACAGCCCTCCTGGACTTGAGGAATGCTATTGAGGGCATGTCAGTACTTTTGGTGAGCTAATTACCAAAAGCAAATTCCATTGTGATTTAGTATGCACAAGCATTACTCTAACAGATGATGGATTAGCTAAAGTGTTTTGTACACAAAACAACAGATCCTGGCAGGAATTCAGCGCATTAGTATGACTATAGTGACAAGTTAGTCTAGTGACTGACTGACCATATTTCATTTCAAGTCAAACTTTATAAATCGGACAATTTGGATACTGTACAGTAACCCTTAAATCTTTATCTATTATATGAGAGTTTTGCTATTCTAAACTGCCTTTGATGTTGAGTGGCAAACTAGTGAACTGGCATTTAAAAGAAAGTTTTGTTTGTGACTAGCCTCAGTATGAGTTTCTTTAGCAAAGCCAAACATGAACATGAATGGACTAGCAAATGGACTAAACAGAAAAGTACTATTGTCTCACTTCCTTCCTTAGGCAGAAACAGATGGAATATACCTTCCTTGCAGCGGATTATAACAACTGTACTGTTAATACTTTCAAACTGAAAAAGCAGCATATCAGAGAGAAATCTTCAAGTTTTTCCTGAAAAACATGATTTTTGAATATTTTTGGAGAAAAGTAGTAGTCAGTGACCTTTTAACAGCACAAAGAGATGGAATGGTACAGCAGCAAAATCTCACTGGGGCTCCAGTATAAAACTATATAGGACAGCAGTTAGAGCTTAAAATGGGTTATATTTCATAAATCCTACTCATGTTGGGTCTTTCATCAAATAATATGGAAAAGCGTGGCTCTGGCTTCAGAGAGAACAGAAGAAGCCCGTAGCTCTGTGAGAAGATCAGCTGTAACTGGGGGAGGAAAACATGCATTGTTCTGTCACTGCTAATGACCCTATACTACTTTGGAGAGTAAGGAGGGGAGATGAAAAAAGGGTGTGATATGAGAGGAAATGGCTCATGGCAAGGCTTTGCAGTCCTGTCCCACTGACCAGCAGTTAGTCTGCTCTGAGAAGAGAATGCACTACACTCCATAAAAAACTATCTGATCTCCCATTCTCATACGACCATACCCAGGAGCCCTGGATGGACTTCAGATTGAGGTATTCAGGATGCTAAGGAACATCTCCTACCCCACCCATTCCTATCCTAACCTTCTGCCATAATCAATGATTTACATGTTAAAACAAATATCTAAGCAATCTGGGCACCATAAATTGTGGTTTATCTACTGAGATACTGTGGTCACTGAAGCCTAGAGGAAGGGCACTAGAAAAAAAGGATAATCTTTAGATTTGCTAATACTAAACAGGTGGATGATTTAGACTTCTTGGCTTAAGCATTTTCATTTTTCAATGAATCCCAATTAAAATGTTAACCACAAACGACCAATGTGGTATGAGGAGAAAGAATGGAAGTGGAAACGACAAATGTCTGGGGAAGCAGAAAACTGATGATGGATGGATGAGAAAATGAAGAGCTTTTGTAGACTCAAAGGCTGCTTCAGAGACTGGGACAGAATACTTTAACAGGAACAAATGTTGGACTAGGATGCAAAGGTCTATTTATGAAGAGAAAGTTGTACCAAATTCCCTGCAGTAACAATTTACACAGATCAACTTGGGCAGAGCTCTGCCAGTTTATAGCAGAGCACATGAATCCTGGACTGGCTGGAGTGGGCTCTGTATGCAGTGCAGGTCTCAGGCCCTGTGCTCAGTTCTCATCAGGCATGCACAGATGTAGCATTCAAGTCAGCTCCAAGACCCAGGTGATGGATGATGGGGCCAGGTCTGGCCTGCATGCCTTGTCTTTGACACCCCTGATTTAAATGGATTAGTTTGTTCCAACAGGGATCCTATAATAGTCTTTGACTCTATAAAATTAAGGCGGTTTCTTTCTACTTGTGATATGACTTATTTGGAAAGTACTTGACACTGGATGGGAACTTGGAAACCAACTGAGAGAAGAAACGAAGTTCTTGGGGATGAGCAACCTGTCTGTCCGTTCAAGTGTGGTTCTCAAATTCCATTCCTGTGTCTGCTGCTGAGCATTCTTTGAGAAGTATGAGGCCTCCCTGCCCCCTGGGCTACAAGCATTTCCTTCTAGTCTGCACAGCCCTGGAGGTAGACTGGCTAAAAAAAGAGACTTGAAAATGAAGGCAGTGGACTCTGACACAGACTGGGGTCATGCTAGAAGGCACTGTGTTGTCCTGCCTCTGCTTAGTCAGACTCCGTTTTTTTTCTTTTCTTTTTTTTTCTTCATCTAAAGTTCAATGATCCCTGATTGCATTCCCAAGACCTGAGAGGCTTCCTGTTCATGCCCATTTATTCAACTCCAAGCCAGACACTGAGTGCCCAAAATTGACCTGTGTTTGCACTTGTGATGCACAGGCTCATGCTAGGTACATGTCATCATGTGAAGATGCTGCAGCACAAGCAAAGCTGATGTCTTTTCAGTTTCAAATCAGTATCTTGGTTCTGCATTCAAAACTTCCCATAGTGTAAGAGCAAGCTACCCACAGACTAGTTGTCTGCACCACCCTTTATTAGCCTAGTGTGTTTCACAGGATCATTTCCTTACATAAGGAAAAAGTATATATTGTATAGTGTATATTCCTTAAGGAGTATGTCTCAATGCAACTAAGCTAGGCTTTTTTCCTTCTCTGTCTCATTTACTGTACAGAGAACAGAATGTCATTGTCAAACATCATTCAAGTAATTTCAAAATATGGGATCTATTCTTCTGTCCTGAGACCTAGTAAGATCTTTTTGCCTGGCTTCAGGACCTGGCCTCTGTATGTGTGAAGCCACATCTGGGGAGCTTTGTACAGTAGGACAAATCCAGACCTTGCTCTGGAGCATCCATGCCAACAAAACTGTTTTGCTGTTGTTCAAGATAGATTTGAGGGGGTGGAGGGGCAGAAGAGGAGATGCACAATGGCATCCCCACAGTGGCTTCCAGCATCAGTGTACAGTGGCTATGTAAGCATGAACCACACTACCATGGAGTCTTCATTTTCTTTTCCTCTGGGACTTTACATGGGCAATAAAATGTAAAATGTGAGGCTTCCTGAATAAAACAATTCTTGATTTGGAACCAGGAGACCTGAGTCTTATTGAGCTTTGCCACTGGTCAGCCAGGTGGGGGGCCAGTGGGCCATCACTTAACTGTGACTCGGTTTCCTTGCCTGTAAAAGCAGAGATGATGACATCTCCTTTGCACTGTGCCTCTGTGTAAGGGTTTTGTATGACCTGACAATGTACAGAATGTGTCAGCCTGCAAATGTGTGGCCCTGGCTTTGGTTTTGCTCTTTCCTTCCTTAGGAAAGAAGCCAAGAGCTTACCTGGAAGGCACCTCACTACAAAGGCCTAAACACAGCCTAGCTTGTGGCTCTGGTCTGGTTTTCCCTTCACCATCTCAGCATCCAATACAGAACTTTACAAAACTTTACAGAAGTTAAAGTATCTCTGATTTAATCTATGAAAGCAGTGTTTGACCTCTGGGCCAGATCTGACTTGCAAGGCTGTGTCATTGGACTCATGGCTCTCTCCACTGGTCCGAAAATCTGGCAGCGGGGAAAGCAGCGGCAGTGTTGCCTGCAGCTCCCCTCCTGCCAAAGGCCCAGGGGAGCCCCATAGGCTGGATGCTGTGGCTCACACGCAGTACATCAGGGTGTGGGACTGCTCTGTGGATGTATCTGACACGACCTGCTGGACCAGCACCCAGCATTGCACCCACAGGCCGACTCCATGCTGGCTCAGACCAGCAGACTGACCCCGTGTAGGAGGTTCAGACTCCTGCCCCCATCCAGCCGGCGGAGTAACGAGGTGGAGCGCCGCTCGCCGGGGCCCTTTGCTTGACCTCAGGCTCCCCCCAACCTTCCTTCCTGCTGCCTACCTGGGATCCTATTGAGCGTCACCCAGAAATGCTCGTCGGGGCTATAGGTGTCCTGAGACCAGGAAAGCAGCTCAGTGGCCCGCGGGTCGCGCAGTACGAACTCCACAAAGGGCCGTGCCAGGGCCACGTAGGCAGAACCAAAGTAGACGGTGAGGTTGCGGGGTGGCGGGGCCTTGCGGCGCGGGGTGCGCACCACCACCCAGGCGGCGGCAGCGTCAGTGGCATTGCCCAGGTGCTCCTGGTACACGTAGCGGGTGCGGGCCTGGGCGTGGGCGGGCGGGAGGTCGCCGGGCGTCAGGCTGTGGCCCTGCCAGCTCCGCAGGTAGCGCACCACTTCCAGGTTGGTGCGCAGCGGGAAGTCCTGCCCGCAGGCGTTGAGCAAGTAGCGCCAGGGCACGGAGGAGCCCACCAGGTCCCGCAGGCAGCGCAGGTCGGCCTGCAGGCGGGAGATGCCGGCGTAGACCACGCGCTCGGGCTGCGAGGCCACAAAGACATTGGGGAAGCAGGCGGCCAGGCTGGCCACGGCCCGCTGGAAGGCGGTGGGCGCCTTGCGGTCCACGTGCAGGCAGTACAGGTTCTGGGGCGCATAGATGGCGCGCAAGAGGCGCTCAAAGGTGGCGAAGTCCTTGTGCAGCGCCAGTGCATAGGCCAGCGGGAAGGTGGCCTCCTCAGCCGACAGCGCCCGGGTCACATAGCGGCTGCGGGACACGTACTC